GGGTAACTGAAAACAATAATCATATTATGTTTAGGGAAACTGTGTAGATAATCAGGAAATCCTCCACTGTGTTTTGGTTTGAAGGAAGACTATTGGTCAAAAATCTGACTTACTCTTTTCAAAATAATTCAAAATTAGTGTTTGAAGAGAAGCAGGCCATGTAAGTCCTGTATTTGTATAATGAAAATGTATAATTTATTTATACATTTTCCTTCTTTTGTATTGGGACGAAAGAAGCTTAAGCCGTAGAGGGGATGTCCATCAGGTTGAGCCCCTGGCATTTGTAGAGAAAAGAAAAATGAAGCCACTGTGATCAGTCCAGAGTAGAGTTTGTAGGTTAGGACGATAGGCTAGCTTGCCTCACAGTCAGACTGGCTGAGCCAGAGTAAACTGAGGTTAGTGGTTATTAATCATTTGTCAATGTCTACAGGGCTTTATCAGATAATTATAGTTATACTCATGTTTATAACACACAAACATGTGGCAAAGCTACAAAGGATTCAGGCCCTAACACAATCTGCAATGACATTTAAAAAACTACAGATTAAGTGATAAATCACAAAGCCAACACTTTAGAAAACCATGCCACTTACTACTGTTTGGGCATTCCAGAATTACTTTCTATATTGTTTATTTGCACAAATATTTAGAAACTTAAAGGCCCTTGGGCTACATTTCCACCTCTCCCTAACTTTTCCATGGGTTATAAAAGTAGCAAGTATAATCGTTTGAACTAAAAGACTGGTTATCGATTCCATTCATATGAACAGACAAGAAGAACATAATCACAGCTTATTTTTAAAACCCCTTCCTAACAAAAACAGTGGTCAAGAATTAATTACTTAAATGGTAAGCAATCTATTAATTAATATATAGGTATATTTATTACATATGTATCACACTAGCTGAATATTACTAATCTCATATTTTTTCTACTGTTTAAAAAAATAAAACTCATTCTTGAGCTAAAATGTCGAGCTGTTTTGAAGAAAATACATAAACACATAAATGGATGTGCCTGAGGGACAGCTCTGAACCCCACAAACCAATAGGTGGCATTTGAAAATAAACACAGCATCCATTTTGCTCTGTTTGGCAGCAAATATGCTAGGAGACATTTCTCAACATGAATGAACTGTGAAATTGTTTCCTCCTACCCGACAATCCTCTAAATTGTATTAGATTATGTTAGCCTTTTCTGCACCTTGTCATAAAGGCTGTCAGTACCCCAAGAGGCAGTGGAGTGGACACTGGGAGCAAGAGCCCCATGTGTCTCAGACGCTGCCTGAATATCAGTCGAAATGTTTGGCAAAAATAATGGGAAATATCACACCCATGCTTGGCAAGAACAACTCTGGGAAATGGCTTTGTTGTAAATGCAGACATTTAAGGGAATATGGTAGGTGAGCCACGCTGTATATTTCACTTAGTACACTTCTCAGGAAGTCATTACCGCTCTATCCCACCTCCATCCAATGTCAAGCACTGCCCAGTGAGTGCAAATGAATTCTTTTACTCCAAGGAAAACAATATATGAATATATGCAGTGTTTTAGCCACTTTTATCCTAGAGTCAACTCTTCAAAACCCAGATTTGCCTACTTTGTGGATTACATACTATCTTTAATCACAAACACAAAACTAAGAAGGTAATTGTGTTGCAGAAATAAAAATCTTTCAGAACAAAATGAGAGATTTTGGGGTATGCTGGTTGCTCTGTTACATTAATGAAGTTAAAGTTGACGATGTATGTATGTGGGTATGAACATACATAATTTGAAAATCGTGGCTTCTACTCTGGATGCAGGTGTTTCAGTGAAGCTAATGTGATCATTTTACCTCCCACAGGGCACCTTCGTACAGCCCCCTTGGTGGTCTTGCATGTACACTGTTCCCCATCCTCACATATTTGCATTACTCTCATCACAACCAGGAAATTAAGAGCTCAGTTGCTTCTCGAGTATTGTTCAGAGCCTCTATATCCTGAACTTTCAATCCGGGATTCAGGTTGGATGCTTGTTTCTTCAAGAGTAGACTTAAAGATTATCTTTTCATTTCTGAAATATTTATTCATGTGTGTTAAACAGTACCTTTTAACTTAAAAGTTTAATTTTAAAAGTACTGTAGAGTCTAAAAGCATAGGATATTATTTGTACGAAATATAATACATACACATCTTAAAAAGATTCATTGCTTTCAATTTTGAGTTAAATTAATGTGTATTACATGATTCAATTTATCCCATTTTTATACAATGATCTATGCTGACCTCATAATTTCATCATCTTTTTTATTTATGGCCCAATAATGCCTTTCTGTCAATTTCCCAAGTTTCTGGATTTATGAGCCCAGAGCCAAGCCATATAATCTGTAGGTTTTCTGAACAGCTAACAATTTTCTAGGAAACTGGTGGATAACCTGCCGGCAAATAGGATTGACAGCATTTTATTTTGTGCTTTAGAATTTGACTTTTATGGTATGAAACAGTAAATTTATTCTTCCTACATGAATGAAAGTTTAATTGGCCAAATAAAATACATATTTTAGTTGGTGAATTTTCTTACATTCCATCTTTGGGAATCACATTTTAAAAGAAATATTTAAAGCCACATACTACCACACCTAAATATCAATTAAAAATTAATCCAGTATTTTGGAGTAAGCTTTCTATGTAGAGTGGTGTTCCCTTTGATAGTGAAACTGGTTTTTGGATGTAAAGCTTCTAACGAGTCTCATTAAAGACACGGGATCATAAATTTGGAAGTGTTCTCAGAAAGCATGTAACTTAAATCCCTTTCCTTTACACATGAGGGTATTCATATTATTAAATGGGGTCAGGACAGACTGAGAGGTTCATCTGAGATCATTTATTAGGTTAATAGCAGAATTAGGATGAGAGTTAGGCTCCCTCTCTCCTTTTAATGAAACAAAGAGCTCTACTTTTAATACTTCTTACTATCACTTTCATTCATTCAGACTACAAATTCTGACTGTTATAATTTGGACCAAAATTGGATTTCTAGTTATCTTGAAAGTTCACTAATGGACAAAAAGAGTTTGTAGTCAATTCTAGAGTTGCAAGTTTGCAAGAGACAAATTCACATATCAAGGGATAATTGATTTTAAGAATGTTAAAACACCATTTTATATGCATTGCAATTACAATCTCAAGTTTGAACTCCTGTATTCACACTTGACCCTTGAACAACATAGGTTTGAACTGCCTGGCACGGTATATATGTAAGTTTCCTATCCATAGTTTTTTCCTATCCACAAGCACAGATTCCATCAACCAGGGATGTTGGTTATACAAATAAATATATAAATTCTATATTATATAAATATTAAATTTATATAAATTATTTATGGATTTTCCTACTGCTTGGTGGTCAGTGCTCCTAACCCCTGTGTTGTTCAAGGGTCAACAGTATATATGATAGGGAGAATTCTCTCTACTAGAAAAAAAGAAAGAATGAATAGATCAGATGTATAAGTCCACTTAGAAAAGATTACTAATAAACAACATTTATACTATGTATGTCATAAGTATCCTGGGTCCCACTGAAAGTCCTGTAAACGAAGTAGGCAGTCTCCTAGTAGCTAAGTGAGTCTTACATAGCTTTGTTTACTTTTATTGCTGATTGGACCAGGAATAGGTGAGTGACCTAAATTAGGTCCATCTTATTCTCACCCCCTGAAAATAGGAATTGGGATCCAGACATAGTCTGTCAATCTAAGATTGCACTTGAAGCTGTAATACATGAACTCAAGAGCTGTCATCAGCCTTACGTGACTGGGAAGCAGAGAAAGCTGGTGCTCAGAGAGAAGAATGGAGCAGACAGGAGAATACAAGCAGAGGTGGAGTTGGAATAGTGTGTGGCTGCCTCCCACTTTCCAGTTACCAGTGTCAGACCCCTCCTGAGGTTTAACTGCCCTTGGGTTCTAGGACACAGCCCTATACAGTCCTGTTTTTTTTTTTTTTAAACAAACTTCTCCTCCTTTCTCCATCTCTTCCTCTTTCTTAATACTAGCTAAGTTGTTTTTGATACCACTACCAGGGGCTTTTAATCCAGAACCTGTGTTACAGATATCACATCTTGAGCCAAGCTACAATGCTTGGCTCTATGGGCTATTTCATGGAACAACCACAGTATAGGTGAGAGCTTGATAATGAGATGCATTACAATGACTGAGACCTTGTGGGTGGAACTCAAGATAGATTAATTTTCAATATATTCATAGAATAATAGTAATAAAGAAATAACTCATTTATACTGATAAGCTGCCTTATTTAGCTATTTATTAAGAAAGCCATATAATACTACATACATTTAGCACATATTGTTACATATACACATATATATGTATAATATATACACATATATATGTATAATATATATATAATATATAATATATAATTCAGATTTGCTTGTCCTGAATGAGCCTAAAATAATGAGGTTTTTCTACATCGACATAACTCATATGTCAATAACATTTTTGAAGTAATGAAATAGTTTTGAAATTATGAAAAAAGATAATGACCATGGGAACTCATATTAGCTATCTAGATAAATTTAAAGACACTAGGCTATATATGAAAAAGATTTATTTCTAAAATACACTAAATACCAAATACTTATTAAAATATCTACAAAAATAGAACAAAGCAAGACAGCTTGCTATGTGTTAAGAATTAATTTTTCATGTATTAGTTCATTTCATCCTCGCCAAAGTACTCTGAGGAATTATCTATGTCTGAATTACTGAATGACATGCTCAAAGACCTAGTTAGTAAAAGGCAGAGGTGATACTTAAACCTATGTAAACTGTGGATCTCAAGACCATAGTCTGAATAAGAGAAGTAGACCAAATGATGACTTCTAAAGAACATTGGAAGCTCTTTGGAAGTTTTAGAAAACAATTTCATGGAACCAAGAAAAATGAAAAATCTTCTAATAAACTTTTTTAAACAAAACCATTTAGATTATAAATGATTCTTACCTGGGGTTAGAAGGGGAAGGTGGATTCATTTCTTTCTGATAGTGACGACCTTGGTTGACAGGCTATAAAAGACAAAACATTTGTGAGGGACTAATCAGCATAATGCTCTTTACATATACTTTCACAGGCATTCTCATTATTGTAATTTTTTCCTAAGACGCAATCTGCAAGAAGAGGCTGAGTTTATTTTAAGTAAAGTCAATGACTGTTTGGGAGATCCAGCAAATAACAGAGTGATATAAATGAGAAAACAGTCGTTCAACTAGGCAGCATCAATGGTATAATTAAAGTTCATGTGTGGAATTATTCTCTTTGTGAAATTTTTATGCAGTTAACATTGGTTGATATTTCCAGATAGAGCAAAATCAAAACAAGGTATCTTCTGGAACTAATGCTGCATAACAAATATCAGCAATAACCCAGAGACCTAGAGATATAGAATATATATTTATATCTCCATGTTACTAAGCTTGCAAGGGTAACTTCTGTTATCATTAATGGAATTTTACAAGTAAATCTTAGGTCAGAGTGATCATTTTTCCCAAGTGTGTAATGAAACCTCAAGCATAAATCACGGAAGTGAAAAAAACAACGCCAAAACCTAATAAAAAATGTGAAATCTCAACTTTTCCCTCCACAAAAAAAGTCAATTTCAAAACACAGTTAAACAATGACATTCCATTTAGCCTTAAACACTTGTCTCCAACAGATCTTGATCTTTTTCTTTTGTACTATAAAAGTACAAAATTCTACCATATTTGATACAAATTTCTTCTCAAACATCAGCTCAATTTTTCTTATATAGTTAACAGCTATGTAACTGTAATATGAAAATCATTTTTAAGATTTTCATTTTATTAAAGGTTGGAATTTGGTTTATGGTCTTGAATTGCATTCGAATGACTTCAGTTATTTGTTTACCCAATGGGGATGGTATTAAGATTTTCTTACCCATAATGTGGCCCCACAGGGCTGATCTCAACTGGGGAAAACAGTGCAGCAGAGGTGCCTGGAAATATTGAGCACACATTCCTTATTTTCCACATATTCCTGATTTAAATGCCTCCTAAAATATTAATGATGTGGGTGATGGGAATTCTTCAGAGTAAACTGTCTTCCCAATAAATAATCTCTTGGAAGTGTTCCTTTAATTTAAATCAAACACCCTGTCTGATAATCACAGTCACTTAGCCTATCTGTGATGCACTGTGAATTTAAATGTACTCAGATACTTTGGTAATTGAACCAATATCAATGCATCACCATTTCAGTAATAAGAAACAACAGCTGGGAGAACAGTGGAAGGAAAAACATGTCATAAGACATATTTGATCTCACTGGAGAAATAAGACTGTCGGCAATTTGCAAGTGAAATTTAGTTCTATGATTTAGGCTTTATTATTTCACAGCAAAAAAGAAATTAGCAAGCAAAGGGCCTAACTGACTAACTCGCACTGCTGCAGAAATACTACTGATAATACATTCATTGGCATTCGCCTAGTATTTCTGCTGTACTCAGGCCTCCAGTGGACTTGTGCTTATTTACTTTCAGTGGTCTTTCCATAACTCTCCAAACATCATAGTCCCGATATTCAGCCAAATAGTCATTTTCTTAATTCTATACCATTACTTCTATTTACACCTGCCCCAGACCTTTATTTCAAATGACTAACTGCATTCTCTGGAGAACAGAAATGGCTACAGAATCCTGTCTCATTTGTGACTTAGCTCTCACTTAAGACTACACAGACTGGCCCCATTCCATGTTTGCTCATGCTTACATAAATAAATCCAACGATACAAGGAGTAAAAGCGAATGCAATCAATGAAAGATTCATATCCACAGTGATTCTTAACTGTTAGAAAACAAAAAAGAAATAACTAGTGGAAACTTTTTGAAGGAGTAAGGACTGCTGACATGAATACATACAAGGGTAAACAAAAAATTCTGTTAAAATAATTATAGGCAATGGGACTCAGTCTGAATGCATTACTCCTTAATTTTTACTGTTGAAAACTAACTACCAAGCTGTATCCAAAAACATTTCACTCACTCACTCACTCACTTAACTTTAATAATAATAATACAACAATGGTGGAGCATTCTGATTTATAAATATAGCTGCTACAAACTGACTTATAAACCCCAACTGCTAATGACCCAGTTTGGGAAGGAAGCAAGTCTTCCTTTGGAGTAGGTGCCACACAAAACTGGGTGATCCCACATTACTTACTCTATACATGTCTCCCAATTTTATAATCAGATTCAGTGACAGGATTATGGCAATGATGTAGCTAAAAAGTTCTTTTAAGATAGTTTAGTCCCATAACTTTGTTTTGATTCTTTGAAAGCTTTCATTTGGACTAAGTCTTTGTGTTCCTTGGCCCAAATGAAAATGAATGAGAATGTGCCTAATGGTTTCTAAAAGCTCTCCAAGCACACTGGATGGGGTTGGGGGCAATATGATGGACTGTCTGAAGCCAGATGTCCCCATCCACAAAAGGAAATAGATATATTTCTACATCTAGGCAGCATAAACTTATTTTGTTGATTACTATGTAGGTAATATCCCATGAAAACACAAGTTTAAAAATTCATTTTTTGATTTTGGAATTCAGCCATATTTAAAGAATACCATAAGAGGAGGCAAAGGAATAACAACCAACACCTACAAATAACTGTGACAATAATAATAATAGCAGTGATTGAAATTTATTGAGGATTTACTCTGTTAAATTTTTGATAGTATCTGATTTGGTCCTGACAGCAATTCTGTGAAACAGATAGGCTTAATGGCTCCACTTAACAGAAGAGGAAATTCAGAAACTCTGCCAGCCAGAAGGCAGTGGAACCAGAATTTGAACGCAGGCAGTCTGATTCCACAGTTTATCCTCTTACCCACTAGGTTATAGTGCTTCATCCAGGTGGGGGGATGGTTCACCTATCGGGAATTCCTAAGATTTTGAATAACAAATACGACAAACTCAGTACCGTTTATGGCAGGGAAAAAGAACTGGTCCAGAAATGCATTTATTTGAAATACATGACTATCTTCTTACATAAATTAAATTCTTTTGATTTCATTCTCATGACTTGTCAGTATATATTTAAAATTAAAATAAATAAGTTTGCCACAATACTAAATTTGGAACAAACAAAAAGATAATACTATGAGAATGAGGAAAGTTTATTTCATGGAGTGACTTTCATAGTCACTAAACACAGAACAGCTCGCACATTTCAATATTTTCTCCTGACAGCACAGATATTACACTGACTCTAATATCAGTTTTCGTATATCATTTCTATGGTGGTATAAGAACATCTGCTCATCTGATTTATTTGCAGCTTAGCACAGTCAACTACTTACCTTTTCAGTTCGGGAGGATTAAAGGAATACTCATTACACCCAAAGAGAGCTGAGAAGTTAATGAATCTGTAGATCACAACAAATTAAGACCTATTAACTTATAAAGAGCCTGAAATGCCAGTATATTACATACTGGACACACGGCGGGTAGCAATCATCCTGTAAAGCACTGACATGCCATAGAGCAAAGAAAAGGATTAGATCTTAGAAACTGGGGACCTAGTCCTTTGGGTGGCGCTGTTGCTATGCACAAATGCCAGGAAAAACAGCACTCATAAAAAATTACTACCACTAAGCACAAGAAGCTCTGCTTTTCCATGATCAAGCTGTTAGAAATTTTGGGGTGAGGGAGAGAAGTGAAGGCTAACTAAAAGAACAGGAGATGAGATAATCCCGCCGTGTTAAAGGTAAAGACAATATTTTTATGTTGTTATGGAAAACCTAGGAAAATGGCAATAATGTTGCAAGGTTAATCAAGACCATAAATAAATTGTCTGAGAACCTCACCATATGCTTGTAATTTTATTGAAGTCCTTTTTTTCCTTCAAATATTATGCTCTGTACTGTGCCATCTTGATGGATGCATGTGATAATTTTTTTTTTTTAAACAAGCTGAGGAGACTTATGCACTTCATATTAGGTAATGGGAATTCTTTTTTTAAAAAACAATTTATTTATTTATTATTTTTTAAAGATTTATTTATTTATGCATACAAGAACTGGGGTATAGGCCAGAGGTGCGGAGGGTGAGAGGATTCACCAGAGACAGAGCAGGAGCAGAAGAGGCAGGTTGACGGAAAACACTGCTGAGGGGAGCAGCAGGTGAGACAGGAGAAGTCTGCAGCACCATGTGGGTATCTCCCTGGCTGGCTGGGATCAAACTCATGCTGCAGAGGTTGTGGACAGTTTCACAGTGCTGTGCTCAACCCACTGAGCCACCAGGGAGGCCTGGTAATGGGAATTCTTAACTTGAAGGAGTGACGGTTTTGGGGCATTTGCTCATAAGGTGGCATGCACATAAAGCACGCATATCTTGAAGCCTGTTTAGAGATGGATTGGAGATACTGAAATACTGTAATAATCAAGGAATTTAATAGTGAAGCTCTGAGGGGGATCAGTATGGATTCCAATGTTAGTAAGTTTACTTCAAAACAAATACAACAGAACCTCTGTCCCCCATTCTAGCCCTTAGTGGTCATAAAAAGAGAAAATGTCCTAGAAATGTTTTTCTGATCACTCAAGTGGCCTTTTGAGGAGAATAACCTTAGAGGAGCAGCAGACTTAGTTAGTATGCACTTAACTCTGTCAGCAGCAGACTTACTTAGTATGCACTTATTCTGTCAGCAGCAGACTTAGTATGCACTTACATGCCATGCGTGCAGTAGGTTCTCACCAAGCCAATATTCTGCCCATTTTATAGGAGGTCATGCTACTGACTGGATTGGGCCCAGGTTGGCTGAAGGAGAATCCATATTCTTTTGCTCATCACATGAAGCTGTGCCTATTAATAGCTATGCCTATTTCTTTTCCTTAAAATGTGGGTCCCCTCACTGCACACACACACACACACACACACGACTGGTTTTATGCTATTGTCAATCAAAATGCTTCACTAAAATATATTTATTTTAGAATCTATTATAACTAACATCTAATTCCTTTCCTAAGGCTGCCTAGAGCCCACTTCTGAA